CACAGGTGGCACGCGGAGCCATTTGTCAGGGCACATGAGGTGTTGCCCTGTCAGCTGGCCAGTGCACTTGGGCCTCCTTTTGAGGCCATTTTTCACCCTCCAGAGGCTTCCTTGAAGCATCCAGAGCGCAAAAAACTAGCCCTATGGGCAAACCGGAAGTTCAGGAACGTACGTCTGGTTTGCTCGTAGGGCCAGTTTTAGCCTGAAGGCCCCTGAAGGCTCCGGAGGATGAAAAACAGCCCTACGGACAAACCAGAAGTCACTTCCAGTTTGCTCGCAGGGTCGTTTTTTGCCCTTCGTAGCCTTCAGGGAAGCCTCCTGAAGGCTCTGGAGGGCTAAAGCCTGTCTTATGAGCAAACCGGAAGCCTGTTCCTGAACTTCCGGTTTGCCCGTAGGACTGGTTTTTCTTGCTCTGGAGGCTTCAGGGAAGCTCCTGAAGGGGGCCTCCAGAGGGGGGGCAGGGGAGGCGGTTTTCGCCCTCCCCAGGCTCCTATAAAGCCTCTGGAGCCTGGGGAGGGCGAAAAAAGCATGCCAAAAATGGGGGGAGCGCTGGCCACGCACGCATGCATGCTGGGGTCATGGGCATAGCATTATGGGTGTGGCATGCCCACGCACGACCCCCCCTGCGCTCCCCCCGCTTTTGGCATGCGAGCCAAAAAAGGTTCGCCATCATTGTCCTATTCACACAAGTGCAGCTATGGTAGGAGCAAAGGTTCAAAGTCTTGTAAGTACTATTATTAGAGACAGACATTAAGAGAGCATTTATAACCCCTTCAATGTTGCATACTATTCTTAGTACTATATAGGCACAAAAGTAGGCTTACAACTCTAATCACTTTTTGAATCATACCTATATGTACCTCTATATAATTCAGAGGTCAACCAACTGGCTAAATTTGAATTCTAGGAGAAGTGAGGCAGGAAATCCATCATGCACCAGCACCTATTTATAAATGACGGCTCTGAATTACAGTTGCAATCCATTTTTTTAAATCATTTTGGAAAGGCTTCACCAATTTGGTACTTTTTACACATCCTTTGGTATTTTTCCACTTGAGTGTTAGCACTTCATCTAGTTTGCATGGGAACTGTCTCTTCTTCTGAGAATTATTTGGTGTCTGGAGAACCATTTTTGTTTCATCTTCTTAAAAGTCTCCTTTTTAATATCTTGCCCTAAGCTACACAAAATCAAATCTTCTAGATTATGGGTGTCAAACCTGTGTCACGTTTCTGTCATGTGACTTTTTGCAATGTTTTTCTCATTTGTGGAGCTGGTGTGGGCGTGGCCTGCACGTGACTGCCAATGCAATCTTAAATTGCACTAACAGAGGGATACAATCAAGATCAAGGGAGGTATTAATACCACTCTATAAAGCCTTCGTAAGACCACACCTAGAATACTGCATCCAGTTTTGGTCACCACACTATAAAAAATATGTGGAGACTCTAGAAAAAGTGCAGAGCAGAGCAACCAAGATTATTAGGGGACCGGAGGCTAAAACATATGATGAACGGTTGCAGGAACTGGGCATGGCTAGCCTAGTGAAGAGAAGGCCCAGGAGAGACATGATAGCAATCTTCCAATATTTGAAGGGCTGCCACGGAGAGAAGGGGGTCAAGCTATTTTCCAAAGCACCTGAAGGTCTGACAAGGAATAATGGATTGAAAGTGGCC